AAATAAGCAGTGATTTGCATCATGGTGCTTGTTGTTAGAAAACAGTTGGCTAAGAGCAACACCCTTGGCACAGGTTTAAACCACTTGCTGAATTAAGGTCACCTTCAGACGTCAATCTCACAAAGACAATTAATCATTTACCGGCCCCTGTGCTGTTATCACCACACATACAGACATAAATAAACACCCTCATACAAAGCTCAGCACTACTCTCAAGAGTCAAAGGTCATTCAAAATCATGTTATGACTGCCAAAAGGGTCAATCATGCAGTTTTGGTTGCATTCCGTAGCATGTTCGGCTAATCTCAGCAGTGATTACTGCACAATGTCTTCAGAAAGTCCTGTTTCTTCAATTATCTGGTTCAGAACTGCTGATGGCATTTACCTACAGAGGTGCATTAACATAATGCAGATATCCTTAACTGCAATACAGAGGCACTTCATGAAACTCATAGAGTTGGGATAAATGGACTGTGGCACTGATGTGAACACACGTCTATTAAACAGCGGATATGAGTGTGTGCGCCAAGGGAAGAGGGCAGATTACATTGCTTTGCACACTAACTATACAGCCCTGGGCTCTCTCTCTCCTCCCTCTCACAGACCCCACCGCTCCTCTTCATCTCTTCAGAGCCTAACATCACTCAGCCTTAACACACTTCACTGACACTAAATCACCACCCAAAAATCAAAGCCTATCCTGAAGGGGAAACATTGACAAAAATATATATCAAAACAGACACACATTCCTTATTTCAGATTCAACAGAGAACCCAATTTTAATGCATTTTAAGGCAATGAACTAGAACAGAGAATCTGCGTTCATAAGATAGGTCACACAGTCGAGTGCTAACATTTGTTAGCCTATGTTTTATCATAACAGGACAATCTTGATTGTATCACTTAAAGACACAATATGTAAGATTTTTTTTATTAAAATATCCAAAAACCACAAGAACAGTGTTATATATTTTGCAGACTTGTGTGCTTACATCATCCCAAATGTTTCGAAAAATGTTTAAATCCAGAGAAATAAGCAATTCTATAGTGTCATATAGTGCCATAGTGTCATTGTGTCGCCTGCCAGTGACGTCATAAGCCCTCGATTTCTTTTTTTTTTTTTTAGAAAACATGGAAACACCAAATACGCATTAATATGTTATGTGTTTTATTAGACAGGTGACGACCGCACAGAGTAGCATTATAACAGAACTTTCAAATGTATCTAGTATGATAAAGCAGCGCTGCTTTTTTCCCCACATACTCACAACCGGAAGCGGTCGACTGTGGCATAATAAAAGCTCCGCTGCTTTCGAGCCGTGTGTCACGCTCGTTCAGCAGCCTCGTTTCGCTTTGACGGCATTCAGCCTCACCCTGCTTCATTCTACTACGTTAATAAATCATTAGCTCATCATTGAACATGATTTCTGCCCGAGTCCCGTCGGATTGCATCACCTGTGGGGATGAAGACAACAACTCCCATGATTCCACACTCAGTCACGGCATCATCAAACTACGCCTTTGTTTCTTTGTGTATTTTGAATACGCACCCTCAAGCGGCAAAAAATTACATATTGTGCCTTTAAGTTCACATTAATTTAAGGACCTCAAGAGGGTGATTAAAGGCCGTTTTTGTTCAACCCGTTTAAAGAGACTGACTGGCAGCGTGTCAAAATGTCTCTGTTGGGAGACGGAGTGTTCTAGTGATTTCTGAAGAATAGGTGAGGTTTAATGGACTAAGGGCTGAGGATTTTTACTTGAACCATTTCACGGCATCTCTCCTTCGATCATTAGACACAACAGGTTTAGCTCAGTGCTAGCTTTCCACTGATGTCTTAAATGGAGTGGATGTAGCTGGCTGAGCAGCTTCTACAACACCCTCATCGGGGGTTAAAAACAGCTGAGCCAACTGAGGATCGTTCCATCCTCAAGTGTATTAATAACAAGGTAGATCTGTGCGGCTTGTGAAAATAATGAATTTGTGCATCCATAGAGTTCCATAGCACAACGTTTATATGCAGTTGTCCTGGAAACGTAAAGTGCACTTAGAAGAGCACGTCTGGATGATTCATGTGTGAAGTTTCCAAAAGCTGCAACTTCTTTCTAGACAATGTGATGTTTAAAGTATATGTATGGCCCAATCGGTGCAATGCTAGATGCTAAAAGTTTGATCAATGTATCACACTGTGCTAATCAACTCAAATATTTAATTGAGATGCACTTTATTTTTGTAATTTTAAAGGAAAAGAATGTAAAATGCTACACTAAAAATGGCTAATTAACTGAATGCAAGTTACATCACCAAATATGTTCAAGAAAATATATTATAAAGAGACAATAAATGTAGTCTTACTGTAAAATACTTAAAACATGTAGTAGAAGTATGAACTACCTCATAATTTGCAAAGAAAACTAATTTCATATTTAAAGCAATTCGTTTTGAGTATAAATCAAATGTCATTATTTAAAAACTTAAAATCTACATTGGAGTGTTGTATGTTGTTTAGTTAATATCCATTGCATTATTTTAGGGCTATGTGTGTTACTCTAATGAGGTTTTGTGTTTGTGTTGTATCATCGCAATTGCTGGAGAGACCAATTATTTAAATTTAAGTTATCATGTGACCAGTCCATCTGTATTATTAACAACTCAAATAGTTTAGCACATTACCATTATATAATTTTGAACGCACCTGTATATAAGCTATATAAGCAGAAACAAATACTAGGCTAATAAAAGAAATCTGGTTGTATAAACATATGTAAAGAGTAAAGACGCGCTTGTTTAATTGGCTGGTGTCGTACAGCTGCTCGTTCGCTCACACGCGCTGCGCTCTTCTGCTGTTATCAGGGTCAGGACGAACTGACACACACAAGAGGCTTAAACATGAAATACAGCAGCCGAGTTCAACTCTAATACTCGAAGGTGCGGACAGGCCTCGCAGCTGACAGGCCTATGGAAATCCATATCCACGGGCTTCAATTTTCTCTTAAATTGTCACATTTTTGGACATCCGGTGATTATGTCTAATGCTTTAGAGAATTATTCTAACATTTCGTTACAGAAAATAACAACCGAAATGGAATTTCAAATGGGTAAACGTGATGGTATTGAAATAATCGTGCTATTCCTTCACACGACACACAAGAGAATATACCTGCAGTCTATAAGAACATACAAATACACATTGTGTGTGTGGTCTGTAAAACAGCTGAAGTAGATGCAACATAAAGGTAGCCTACATGTTTTTATGTTTTGAAGACAATAAGAGAACGTGAACCTGTTACTTAAGTGGTAGCAATCATATACCAACAACTCCGTGTTATAATAAACAGCTCATATCTAACGTGAACAAACTGTAATTTAACAAATGACAAATACATAAATAAAATAAAAAGTCCAGATACAGATAGGCTGTATAAAGCAGAGTGAGTGTGAATGCTAAGCGGTAGAGGTCGGGCTGCGCTGTCCATGGTCCTGAACTGCCTTACGGACACGAGAAGACTCACACTTCATACAATTCAGTGTCTGAAACTGTTGTTTGGCCTCTATAAAATACAACACGCGGGAAAGTATGAACAAAACACATGGAGACTACTGTCATTTGATGGGTGAATGGACACAATCTGATCAAATGAAAAATTAGTGCGCCTTTCAAACATGACTACGGCACATTTATAAAGATAAAACTCGTTTTTAAATCTCAAATGTTCCGTTTTAAATCTATTTTTTTTAATGTTCAGACAAATAAAAAAATACAAAGAAGTTTAAATGATATGCATTTTGTTAATTGCAATGAAATAAATCGTCTGGGCATACTAATAATGGCGAGAGACAATCCATGTCGTGTAACTACTTCTAAAGTGACTCAAATTAAAAAGTACACCGACAAAGACCAAAGTTATGCGTACGTTATGTGGAGAATTGCAGTTCATTTATCGTTTTAAAGCTAATTTAAGCAATGAATCAACCTTTGTGGTGTTAAATGGACCATTTTGACGAAATATAAACACATTAGAACAGTGCCTGGTACAGGTATAAAACATTTTAAAACAATCCGATATTTGATGTAGACGCCTAATTATAATATTTTCTTAATTTAAGGGATGTTAATTTTTTTGTGTGTGTGCGTGTGTGTGTGCGTGCATCAGCGTGTGCGCGTACGGCATCTCTAACCCCTTTAAAATGTACAGGAAAAAAAGAGATAATCATGATTAATGAGTATTTAATAGGCATATTTTACAAAAATATAATAATAATAATAATAATAATAATAAACAAACACATCATATTTTCACATTATTAAACAAGTGCAATATTAAAATGTAAAGCATATTATAACAGCGTTGTAGTGATTGTAATTTACATACATTTAAAATGTAATATAAGATTTCATTAAATTTAACTATGTGTTCTCAGTACGCTATTTAATTAAGTCGTAGTCTATTTTCTTTTCTTGATCTATTTTCAATCAAGTGATTTTGCAGAATGTAGTTTGTTGTAGACATATCTTGAGTGTGTACTGAATAGTGGAAATCAAAGAGACTCTCTCATCAGGGTGCAGGACTGTCACTGCCGCTTCATTCACGCACCCATTTTCATTTGTTTTGGCGCCCCCGTGAGGCCGAACACTGAAACGCAACTCTCGCAACTGGGTGTCGATGCGAGAAACAGAGGAAGGTTTTGTCTGCGTGAGACGCGCTTTTAGAAATAAAATCATGTTTAGTAACCTCCTGCAGGTCTGAACATTTCCATATACAACCTACAACGCGTTTAAAAGGTTCTATATTACAAAAATAAAGGCATATTTTTTTTAATAATTATTTTACGGACCTGAACCCATAGTTATAAAGTGAAAAGCATCGAATACTGTTACAACACTAGGCTACTGTCATTCCGAAGTGGCACAATTCCACACTTAAACATACGAGCATATTGTAAACGAGTGACACAGGTAAAAAAAAAAAATACAAAATTAAAAAGAGAGATAGAGACTTACCAGGTAGACAGCCGGAGTGAGGAGAAACACGGCACACCAACACGTCGCCCGCATCCTCCCTTATCTCAAACTTCCACTAATTTCCCTGTGCTGTTTCTTTTGTCTGTAAGGACCATAGATCCACTCGGTATCCGCTTTAGACCTTTAGCCTAGGCAAAAATGACACTATAGACCCCATGACCACAGAATAGGCTTTAAACTTGGACGCAGATAAGGGAGGGAGAGCAAATGAGCGGTTACATAGGCATTAATCCATTCAAGGAGTGAAGCACAGTCATATTTGATTAAGATGGCATGGGAGATGGTCGCTGGTCTTGCTGCCTGGAGGGAATGCGGCGTAAGTCCTCTTAGAAACAAGGACAGAGGCTTTTCACGCGCGCGCTGTCACTCAGCGGTGGCTTTATATCGCGCGCTGAGAGCCACGCGCGCCGTACTACATCCGGAGAGAAACTCTGAGAGGGTGGGT